AAAGTGACCATAGTGTACTCGATGAATAAGGAAGACCTTACAAGGTTACTTCTTCTTCAACACTCACCCTCCTCCAGGTGACTATGGCGTACTTGATGAATAAGGAAGACCTTACAAGGTTACTTCTTCTTCAGCACTCACCCCCCCCTCAAAGTGACCATAGTGTACTCGATGAATAAGGAAGACCTTACAAGGTTACTTCTTCTTCAGCACTCACCCTCCTCAAGGTGACCATAGTGTACTCGATGAATAAGGAGGACCTTACAAGGTTACTTCTTCATCAACACTCACCCTCCTCAAGGTGACCATAGTGTACTCGATGAATAAGGAAGACCTTACAAGGTTACTTCTTCATCAACACTCACCCTCCTCCAGGTGACTATGGCGTACTTAATGAATAAGGAGGACCTTACAGGGTTACTTCTTTTTCAGCCTTCACCCTCCTCCAGGTGACCATAGTGTACACGATGAATAAGGAAGACCTTACAAGGTTACTTCTTCTTCAACACTCACCCTCCTCCAGGTGACTATGGCGTACTTGATGAATAAGGAAGACCTTACAAGGTTACTTCTTCATCAACACTCACCCTCCTCCAGGCTGCGGAAGACGGTCGCGAGAGAGCCGATGTCTGACTGTGGGATGTGGTAGGTGGCACGCTCTCCGAAGCACTCTGTACGAGCGGCAGCTATGAACAGCGACATCACATAGCGATTCAGCTGCTCCATCCTGTGGTAAAACACTGAACTATAGCGCGTACCAAGGACACACTTGTATGATAGAGAAGACCTATATGTTCATGCACGCACCGATACCATGCCGTCAGCACTCTGCTATGATATTATCAAGAAATTTGGTGTTTTCATAAAAAAATGCACCATAAATTTTCTATGCCGCCAAAGTAATACTAGTAGCTTATTATAGTGCAAAATCTGTGTTAGTGGCTCTCTACAGAACATACACGTATCTATAAAGGACACTACAAGTTTCCTTTAAGTTGCAGTTATGCAGTGAAACTACCTCTATACAGGACAGCCATTTGCTATTCTGCCCCACTAATTCTAGTAGCCTATACAGCTATCATATTTAGGCTTTGCATTAATATCCATCATCATGCTAGTGAACAAGTAAATTAGGACTAGGATATTATTCCAAATGCTTCAACTACTAACACTGCCAAAAGCTCTGCAGTAGATTTCACCAGTAAAAACTTTTTTGCAGAAGTGGAGGAAAATTAAGAGAATAGAGAGATCCAGACACTGTCACGTACCTAACGTGGTGGTCGGGATCTGCACTGGACCAAGCTGCCTTCACTTCCAAGTTATAGCCGCCTCCGTATTTATTCTTCAGGTGTTGTGTAGTTCCCAGGCACCTAAGACAGACATTACACACGAAACGGTGAAAGTGTCGGTTCTAAGAATCAACATACTACAGTGATTACGACTAAACACAGTAAATCGAGTTACTGCACACACAAAAGTGTGGCATTCCTTTCTGATCCATGACCAAATACAATAACATCTGG